CCAGATGTTCCTGAGTCAAAGTCCCTTATGGGGACAGAGGTAATCTATCCCAAAGTACAGCTTAACAGAAGTAAAGGAGTCTTGTCAGCAATCCTGTAATTTCCATTTGAATAAGGGCAGATTTAAAAAAAAATGAAATCATCCTCATCTTCCTTGCCTCATCTAAACTTGAAGACTTCAGGAGAGTTGAAACTGAATACAGCCCATGATAACATCATACAGAGGTCTATTAAAGAATGAAACATCTGACTTTTCAACTCGTAGTCATCAGATTTTGCTGTATGTCTGTCTGGTAATATTCTGATATTAACATTCCCTTTCACTGAAAAGTTAGCTGTGGGTAATAACATCAATATCCTTAATTAGTTAATAATGACACGAATGCATGAGATCTATTTATTCTACTGCAGCAGTATGGTGGTCTAGGCTTGAATGGGTTGATGGTTGGACTAGGTTTTCTTAGTGGTCTTTTCCAAGCATGATGATTCTATGATTCTACGAATGTAGGTAGATGAACAGTCTTGAATGCTTTGAACAGACATCCTGCTGGAAAATGTCATTTTAATTATGAATAGCTGAGCTTACTTCCAGTGGGAGCATTTTTAAAGCTGAGATTCACATATAAGAAAGTCCATGCCATATGGAAAAGATTTCATGGACTAAACTGATAATAATAAAACCCGCAGAAAACCAAGCACTTTGTCCAGAGAAGAATATTATTCTGTGTTAGTGAGGCTCAGAGTTAGTTTAACATTAGCAGCACACTTTGGTTTGTGGAAAAACAAACTGTTACAAACACTGATGCCACAAAATTTCCTGCGAAATGCATTAAAGGTGGTCATGCAGTATTCCCATTCTCCTAATATACTATCTCTTTCATAAGGACAAGACTTCAAATCATACAGGAGAGATTCAGGTTGGATATTAGAAAAAAATTACTCTCAGAAAGAGTGGTAATGCATTGGAACAGACTTTCCAGGGAGGTGTTGGAATCACTGTCCTTGGAGGTGTTCAAGAAACATGGGGCTGTGGCACTGAGGGACAGGGTTAGTGGGCATGATGGTGATCAGTACTGGTGGTGGTGGGTCAATACTTGGACTAGAAGATCTTAGTGGTCTTTTCCAACCATACTGATTCTATGACTATGATTCTAAGGAGAGCTTGTTTAGGCTTGGATTTCTTGGGATGCTCTGATGGTGTAAGGCTGTTTCTCTTTCAGCTGTACATGACACTGAGACTGTTGTCTCCCCATCCTCACCTAAAGGAGCAGAGCCTTCTGCATCCCTTTTTGCCTCCTCACTGTAGAAGAGAGATCTTCCACCCCAGTGTAAGGGAGCAGAGAAGTCTGAGCAAATGCTCCTAGGCTGCTGGATGAGGGGAAAGCAGAATTCTTCCCCACACCTGCCTCCATGTCTGTAGGAAGAGAAACAAACAGAGGCACTTGTCAAGGCTGTCTCTAATTGGGCTTGGGCCATTCTCAACTCAGTAATACCTCTCAGAAATTGATGTTGTAAAGCTGAAAAGCTGAACAGCTCAAATGCATAGGAGGCTCTGATAATGTTCTCAGGTCTGCCAGTAACTATTTTGGGAAAAGGGCAGCCTTCTTAATCTTTGAACTGTACACTGCCATGCCACTTATCCAAAGTTTAAACATGTCATTGTACTTGGAGAGGCAGAATATATGTGTTGGTACAAACCTTCAGATCTCTGCTAAAAATCTGCTAAAAATCATGTTTTACAACTGAAGTTGGAGAAACTCTTGACAATAAACACATGTGATGGTTGAATTCTCTATCTCCCTTCCTAAAGAGACAGAAGTTTTGTTGTTCTTCTTACTCCCATTCTTCTGCTGGTGCTTTCTTCCACTGTAATAACTAAGCTGAAATGTGTCTAATACAATGGAACAGTCAGTTTTGGCCTATGTGCTGAAGTACTATGATTTACATCAAAAATAAAAATCAAACCAACCCCTAAATAGAGGTCAGCACCATAGGAGTTCCCAAAGGCAATTTCTCCTATGTAGACATTTAGTCCAAGTCTCAGCAACAGCTTTCTGACCTTGGAGCTGAAAGAGGAGAGATGAATTGCAAGAAGATAGGGAAAAGCTTCGTGTCTTGGAAAGGACGTAGGACAGTGGGATATGCTGCCAGGATAGGCTAGAAAATTGCCAGGCTGGAGCGAGATGTGGTAGCTTGACTTTGTGGTTACTTATTCAAAAGTGAAATCAAAGATACAGCAATGCAGGCAGATAGCCTGCAAATAGTAAAGGTCCCTTCTGCTCTATGCTACTATGTGAGAAAAGATTTAAGGGTGTTCTAGGATCCTTATGACCTTGTTCATGCCAAAAAGGCAAGGAGTTTACTGCTGGTGCATGTGTTTGGAGCCGTGCATTATGGAAAGGCCTGGGACTAGTCCACAGTGCTTTCCAATGCAAAACAAAAGCCAGAGTTATGCTAACATTACTTTCATCATTTCCACCAAAAGAAATTCTCCATCATTTTATAACCTAGACATGCATAAAACATTTCTTCTGTTGCTGGTTTAATCCTGAATATCATCAGTTTGGTTTCGCAGGACAAGCTGAAGATGGCACATGATTTCTATTGGAGTCCCTAGCAGCAAACAGAAGAAAAAAGAGTGAAGAAAGATATTTATTTTCCTATGTTCTGCCTTGACTGTTACTAAACCAATAGCCACTACTGACTTACAGATACTGATCTTTGCAAGCTTCCCCTCCAGGATAACACCCAAGGAATAAGGCTCAGTCAATATACAAAGGTCACCTTCCCAGCTTTCTATCAGTTCAAAGCTCTTTGTTGCTGACTCTGGCAACTTAAATTCTAGATAGATTCAGTTGCATCTCTGAAATACCAAAAACATCTCAATCTATAAAACCCTCCTGCAAACATAACACAGATTAGCTTTGACATGGTATTTAGGCATTTGAGGTTTTTACAAATGAGGCATACCTAAATAGAAAAAAAGCACAGATAAAAAATTCAGTGAGATACTTAGGGATTTCAGGGCAACATATGCTTCTTTCATCTGAATCTCTCTGCTAGATTTACTATTTCTATTCTATAACACTGGACAGCCCATAATGACACCTTGCCAAGCACAGTAAAATCAGGATTTGCTGGGAACTCATCTCCAGAGCTCAGCACAACTTTGCTGTGAGATCTCAATGCAACCCAAAGGCTCTGAAATTATGTACTGTCACAGACTAAATCTCTTACTCAATCATTCTGCACTCCAGTTCCATGACAGAAACCTCACCAAAATAAACCTCACCTTCCTGGCCATGCTGAAGGTCTGTGCCTCCTGTAACTGACTTTGCTTGCAAATGACCAATAATATTCTAACAACTCATCTTGCCCCTCTCTTTGAGAAAGGGCAGAGCACAAATTACATTTCTTACTGCCAGCCTGACTCTGATCCCTGTTTTCTTCCTTTTGCTGTAGCAAATATACTTCCCTGCAACTCCTGACTCCTGCCTAGCAGACCTAATGTTCTGAGACATCGGGGAGGTGACGTCAGACTGTCCTTTCTTATCTTTGTTATCCACATCACTAACTTCTCAGGCTGCAGATATCTGTTCTAGTTCCAATCCCTCTGAAAAGCTGCAAAATCTTTCCCTCAGCCTGCATTCTTCAAAGACTCTTCCTTCCCTGCTTCAGTTGAGGAAAGCCTCGTATAACATGATCAGCTGCCCCAGTGGCAGCTTAAATCCCATCACTAAGGCTTTTCTCAATAGCTATGCCCACCTTGGACTCTATCTCAGACTCTGCAGGTGGAAAAGAAGATTCCTTCTATCCCTACAAAGCTTTCAGACACATGATTTGATATTTTCAGGTGGCCCTATGTGGAGCCAGGAATTGGACTCAATGAACTTTTGGTCCCTTGCATATCAAGATTCCATTTGATTCTATGATTCTCATTTCTTCCTTCTCTTTGCACTCAGATTTTCCCAAGACTGTTATGGTTTCCAGTTCCTAGTTATGGATGCAGCACTCTGAGATGACCTGAACAGGAATCAAAGAATCATAGAATCACCAAGGTTAGAAAAGGCCTACAAGATCATCCAGTCAATCATTTGAATTGAAAGGGATCCTTAAAGGTCATCCAGTCCAACTCCCTTCAATGAACAGGGACAACAACAGCTAAATCAGGTTGCTCACAGCCTGGAATGACAAGGATGGAGCATCCACCACCTCTCTGGGCAACCTGTTTCAGTGCCTCACCGTCTGTATTATAAACAACTTCTTTTTTATATCCAGTCTAAATCTCCCCCCTTAAGTTTGAAACCATTTCCCCTTGTTCTTTCACAGCAGGATGAATCCTCCTCTGGATGCACTCCAAGAGGTCCACATCCTCTTGTACCAAAGACTCCATATCCAGATACAGAACTCGAGGTGAGTTCTCATTAGTGAGGAGTAGAGGAGCAGGGGCATTGCTCCCTTAGTTCCCACCTTCTGAACTTGAGGGCTGAGTGTAAAGCAGACTCTAGTAAACACTGAGGCAAAAAGTTGTTGAGTACCTCAGCCTTCTCCTTGTCTGTAGTTACCAGCCCGCCTGCATTTATCACTAGGGGGAGATACATTCACCTGAAATTTCCATTTCCAGCTTATGTACCTACAGAAGCCTTTCTTATCCTTCTTTGAGTCCCTTCCCAAGTTCAGTTCCAGCTGGGCCTTGGCCTTCCTTACTCCATCCCTACAAAGCCTGGCAGCAAAGAACTGACACAAACATGGGAAATAGACAAGAAAACAGATTCCATGCATAACGAACAGACATGAGGAAAGATTTTTTTCATCTGGGATGATAATCACTCTGTAGATAAACTAGTGGTACGTTTGTGACTCTCCATGTCCAATGTGGTGCATGTGTTTGTTGCAATGTACACAAAACTCAAAGTAAGGCATTCAGGAATGGCTCCTAAATGCTCCTGCTGGCACTAGTGCGTCTCCAGGAGGTAATGGTTCATGAGGTGTATGACTAACCTTGCTGTCCGTTGTTGGAGACTCCTTCTCCTTCTCTGCATGCTGAAGTTTTCTATTCAGATCTTGGAACATGTCTTGGTGACGTTTTCTTGTGTGCATGATTTTCTGAAGAAAATGCAAGGGCCACAGATCAGCAAAGCCTATTCAGCCATACAAAACCAACATTTCCTCCTCTCAAAGCTACATACATTATTAAAACGTAGATCTATCTCACTGCAGACTAAATCCAGCTTCCCTAGAGCAGCTCCAAAATTCTCTGAGGACCCACATGCAACACTGTAATTTCAGAATAAGATGGTGGGAGAAAGTGAAGAAGTTTAGTTTTTGAACTTATGATTGTACTGAAATTGCAAATGCCAGCTGTCTATGTTGCAAAATTTGTACACTGGTCTACCAGCTTGACTCAGGAAGCTCTGTTACCTTTCTTAACTGATTGCTGACCCTATGCCTGCTCTGTTGCCTCCTTGGCAAACATTTTGAGAGCTTATCTGAATACATAGGATTTAGGCTAAATAAGTTCTATCAGCAGTCACGTCACAGTTTCATTTTCTTTGTAATTTGGTCAGTCTGTATTTTACTTTTACTTTCTACTGACCAGGAGATGAAGGAAATATTTCTATAAAGGCTTCCCTCTGTGTGTGAGAGCATGGTGAAGATTGCTTGCTTGTGCTGTGCCAAGTGGTCTATAATTGGAGAAAGTAGCTGATATAATTTAGGATCAGCACAGAAATGAATCAGCTCACATGCACACTCTGTAACTCAATTTCAGAACAAACTCCCAGTCTTGAGCTCTGAAGCGATTCTAGCATTAAATACAACTCCTCTTGGGCCCTCAGTCTGACTTCGTTTTGGAATAAGGCACCAGCTTTTAAGGGAAGACATGGCTCTGCCATCAAGGATGCCATGATTTGACTAAGTTCTGCACCAGCTCCCAGTAGCCCCATAGACACTCTTTCAAAGCTTTCCACTCCATCCTTTCAGTGTGAATACAGGCATTTCCCTTAGTGTAGATAGGATGTGAGGAAAACATTTTTTACAATAAGGGTAGTGAAATGCTGGAACATGTTCACCAGAGAGATGGTAGATCTCTGGAGACTGTCAAGGTCAGGCTGGACTGGCTGGACCTGCAACCTAATCTGGTTGCAGGTGTTCCTGTTCATTGGAAGAGATTTGAACTAGATGGCTTTTAAGGGTCCCTTCCAACTGAACTGATTTTATGATTCTTTGATTCTCCCGGGCAAATTCTGTGAGGATCATTAATAGGTGTGAAAACCCAGGTTTGGTCATGGTTTGTGACAATGTAGACATATTACCTGCCTTTCTGTCATGCAACAGAGCTTTGGCACAAAAGTCAAGGCATTTTAGATCACTAAGCAAAGGACGTACTTGTGTTTCCTAAATAGGAATGCATTGCAGCCACCTGTAGCCCTTTTCCACTAGCTTATTTGCAAAAGAGATGCTATAAGTCTTGTGCACTCTGACATGGGATCTTCATTTACAAGTGTTTATGCAAAGGCAACAGCTTCATAAATTAAGCATGAGCCAATATAATCTACCCATTTGTTCAGCTGCACAGGGTAAGCCTTATTAAGCAGCCAGTGCAACTCTTTCTGCCCACCATTTTCCAACTTCTTTGGCAAAGGCTGCATTCCAACAAAGGTGGTGGCAAAAAAATGAAGCCGCATTTCCCTTTCTCTCCCTACCCTTCAAGAAACACATTCAAAAATTGATGTACTCACCTCAAAATCTAGTTCTGCATACCGTGATTTCCGTCTCTGGAGATTCAAAGGAAAAAGAGAGGGTGGTGAAGGTTAGTAAGGAACTGAGGGGCACAGACTGAACTGCACAGTAGATGAATCAGAGAGGCTCCTTCTCTTTTTACCTTTAAAGTGTTTCTCTGGCTAATCTTGATGGAAAGTGACAGTCTATAAGAAGGATCACTCACAAAAGTGCTGAAACCCAAGGAAGGCTGAACATGGAATTCTGGCTAATTCAGACCCCTGTCCTAGTTATGATCTTGAAGGTGGTTTTTACAGGATGGGAAGGAAATAAAAAGGCTCAGCCCAGAGAGCTAGCAGAGCTTCTGACCATCAGTCAGTAAAAATTGAAATTTGGGCAGCAACGGCCAAGACTTGCTCTCTGATAATAGGCAAGAAAATGGCCAGGTGCTGAGAAATGCGAAAGCTAGGGCAGACATCAGTGTGAGATGTACAAACTAGGGAAAACTGTTAATATATGTATTGAATTGTTGCAAGTAAGATGGAGAGGGCTGCACTTCTACCAAACCTCTGACATCCTTTTGATGCAAAGAAAGTTGTGGGTCATATTTTAAGTATATGCCAGGCTGGATGGGGTCATGGACTACCTGATCTAATGCCTGCTTTAGTGCTTGGCAACTCTCTCCATGGCAGGGAAGTTGGATCTAGATGATCTTTGAGGTTACCTCCAACCCAAGTCATTCTGCGATGATTCTGTGATACATCTGCAATCAAGCGGATTTTCCTATCTTTGTCACTACTGAAGTCATCAAAATGGCAAACAGAAGAGGATAGATGGAGAAAAGGTAATGCATGTGCCTTGGTCATGTGCCTTGTCCTAAAATGAACAGCTCTGACATGCCAAAGTTTTGATTTTAATTTGCATTACGTTGCAAAAGACAGCTCATCACACAATGGGCTGTAGCTGTGGAAGTAATGAGGGATTTTTAAAACAAAATTATGAAATGGTATCACCTGCCAGGGTTTCCTCACAGTAATATAATTATGGCACTACACAGTCGGCTACATCTGGCCCAACAATCCACTCTGGAAAAATCTGTTACAGCCAGTATTGAGGGCAGGGAACATAATGGGCTTGGAACAGCAATGGAATTCCCATGCTCACCTCCAAGGAGCTCATGGAGAGAGTGGAGACGGTCTCACTCTTGGACACCACACCTGAGTTCCCTGAGTCACCTGTGTCACACAGGCTGTTGGGAATCTGTGACTCGCTGGGGATATTCTGTGGAGGCAGCTGCTGCTGCTGTTGTATCATGGGAGAACCTTGCACCTCACTGCAAGTCATGGTCACAGGTTCCCGTGGAGGACTTTTGACGACAAAACCTGGGTCGGTAGCCATACTGAGGTGGATCAGCCGTGTCTGGGGCATCTGGTCTATATTGATGCTGTATTTGCTCTCATCCTTGGGTGGTTTGGCCCGTAAGGTGGATGTATTGGTAGGCAGAATGACATAGCTGGTGTCCAGTGTTTGTTCTTGTGCCCGAGAGAGTTCTGAGTCCAACTTCTTGAAGATGTCCCCGTCACAGATGTAGATAGACTTGGGTGGTTGATTCTTGTCCTTCTTCAGAGTGAGACTGTGATTGCTGAACTCATTCAGGTTGATGGCCCCCAGGTAGTGCGGGGAGCCCTGAAGATGCAACTTGGACACATTGGCTGGAAGACTGTTAAAGTTTGATGACCCCTTCTGATGATTGAGCTTCAATTTCTCTTCATCCTGTAGCGATGGGCGCTTCAGTGTTCCTGTGATGGTGGAGGTCCTGCAGGCTGTGATGTCTTTATTCAGCACTAGAGAGACAGACAAGTATCCTCAGCACTGCATCTTAGCTTTGGTTAACACATCAATATACCCACTGCAGTCACACCATGCTGGCATGTTCCCTGGGACCTCTCAGAATGAGGCTATAGTGGCAAAATGTTTTCATATATATATTTTTTCCTTTTAGTCCAGGATACTGAATGCAAATCTAAAGCCAGAATAAAACTCCTCATTTTGAGAGAATCCTCTGCATTGAGAATTTCCCAAACCTATCGTGGCCAAAACTCCAAGCTACATTGAAACATATTATCATACTGATAACATTATCTCAAAAAGAAATTATACGTGTTTATTACATGTGTATATATATATATAATACACAGCAAATATCACATACACGTAAGATTCTAGCCCGCAGAGAAGCAGTATTTATTTTAAGTATAAGATTGATCTCATGTCAAAAAAAGATTTTGATTCAGAAATTAGCTGAAATGCAGCATTATCAGCAAGTGTTGTTTCTTTGTTTTAATTTGCTCAAATTCTTCAGGTTGAACTTCTTCCCAGGAACAGTTTCAGGATTAGATTTGATAGTGTACAACACATCACATTTTGTTATAAATTTCTGATTCACTCTCTGGAAAGCTTACATTCCAATCATTATGCCAAGCCTCTGTGAGACATAATTATTTGTTGTTTCTCAATGTGCCTAGAGGACAAAAAGGAGTGCCGTGAATACTCCTAAGTAGGAGATGAAAACTTTTATCTGAGGATGAGGTGAACATGCCACATAGGAGGTACATACAAGACTCACAGACACTCATATCCACGCAACACTGTCTTCAACAAAACATCTTATTCACTTCTAATAAGATTCTGTTGCTCAGTTGATTTCAGGTGGCAACAAAGACCTTAAGAAGATTATGACACAAGCCTTGATTTCTCCAGGAGATGGAAAACACTGTGGGGTAGGGGCAAAATGATGTGGCACTGAAGGATACTTACCCAATGTTTCAGCTCAGTAAAGGAGAGATAAATGAACATCTCCCTTTCTCCCATCTCAGAATAAAATGTTGAGATCTTTTTACCACTTTATTTTTCCAACATTTTTGGGGTAACCAAAAGACCTCTATTCTATTTTATGACAGAGGCAGCACATGGCCGAGGAATTCCATGGGACTGAGGGCATACCCATTTTTCTATCAACTGAAATTGGGGGTGGTGGGTGCTGGGTGAGCACAGAGAATACAGGCAACACAGGGTGATAAAAAAAACAAGTGGAACACAGGGACTTTTTTAAAAAAACCTTTGAAAGCTAGGCACATAGGGCATAATTATGGCAGCCATGGTAATCTTAATGTTGCTACAGGGCACACTAAGATAAATCAGAGCATTATAATGTGTTCATACCATAAGCCGCAGTAGTATGAACCTGAACTCAGACCTTTAGCTCAGCGTCAGTAAAGTTTATTGATCTTGCTCACAGCACGTGCCTGAAGCAGGCTTGAAGAAGCTGGGTGATCTCCAAACATGGAGCAGTAAGCTTCCAAAACTGGGCTATGGAGTAAATGCTAACAAAGAATCCAAGTTACAAGCTTAAGAGTGGTGTCTGACCTATCTGCAATCAGTCAGTTTGAGAGCTGACGCTTCCAGGGCAAACTACAGCCAGGAACCAATTGGCTTATTTATATGTTGTATTATTTAAAGAGCAGATTGCCTAAGAATTCCAATGATGCACCATATAGAGAAGTCCCCAAAATAGTGACTGTTACTAATTAGTTAGTTTGATGCAAACTAATATTATCAGAGGATGATTATCTCTTCAGGCAGACATCAACAAAGACACAAACAGTAGGGATGTAAGGGAGGGAGCAGAGGAAGGGAGATCTAGGTTTTTAGCGAGCTATTAATCAAGGGTCTTCTGCCTTTTGTCTAGGAAGCTCAATTTGATAGCAAAAAATTCTTCAAGAAAGGCTCTGTTGTAGGAGTATGGAGTCTGCCTTGATTTTCAGCACAAAGTGTGCTGAGCATGCATTCAAATCATATCTGGTCTCATGAGCATGCCTTTTGCACATGGCATTTTGGAAGCAAAGTCTTCAGTGTCAGAAAACAGGGAGGAAGATAGATGAGATGAGAGAGTCAGCTAGAAATACAATTAGGGAGTATGAGACAGAGAAATAGAGAAAAAAATGGAGCGACCCTGAAAAAAAGATAAATGGACAGAAAGAGACCATGAAATAAGATATCACAATGATAAGTGAGATAAATATACTATGACTATGATAGGCACAGGGAGAGGGAGTGAGGCTGAGAGAAAAAGAGAAGAAGATAAATAAGATATAGATAGAATATTAGATAGATAAATGATAGTGACAGTGATAGACAATACACAGAAACACAACGACAAGGATAAATGCTGACAGAGATAGAAATACATAAATAACAGGTACAGCAAGACAGACAGCTGAGGACAGAGATAAATAAGTGACTGCAAGATATATACGGAGAGATGCAAGATAAATACATCAGAAGCAGATATATAAATGATGGATTAGATAAAATAAAAGATATAGACATATAGGGAAGGAAGAAGGGAAGAAAGGGAAGGAAGAAGGGAAAGAAGGAAAGAAGAAAAAGGAAAAAAGAAAGGAAGAAAGGGCAATAAAGAGAGTAATACAGAGAAAGAGAAAAAAGAACTGTACACACAGTATGTACTGTCCTTGGCTAAGGAAGATCCTGGTTTGGAAGATGTGAATTATGTGCAAATGCCAAGCGAGCTGGTATTTCTCTTGCTTGGGAAAAGAGAAATCTGGGAAGGTAAATGAAAACCTAAATATCTACCAAAGGGAAAAATGATAATAACAATACAAAATCTCAGCCAAATGCTCAGGCATGCCAGGAGCAGGAGAGGACAAAATCTGCAGAGACAAACAGACAGCAAAGGAGACTTCAGAAGATGCAGACGCCCCTTTGGGATGGGTATTATTGGAGAAAGGCAAAATCTGCCCATGCAGATCTTCAGAATGTGTGTGACTGAACACACAGGAGAAAAGTGCAGGCAAAGAAGGAGAGACCTGACCCACCTCCATATATACAGGCAGCTTACAACTGCACCAGAAATGTGCATGGGGCCAGTGGGAATGTTGGGAAGGCTCTCCAGGTTCCTGACCTCAAAAATACCTTCTGAGCACAGAGCTACCTGAGGCTGCCCCTGATCAGCAGGTGTTAAAGCAAAGAAGGATCACACTTGGAAGAGATGGAGCCCATCTCTTCTTCCTTGATTCTCTTCTCTGCCACTGTGTTACAAGGACCATGGGTAAGAAGTAGTACTTCAGAGCTAAGTTTTTATCTTAGCTAAATGGTCAAGAGATCTGTGGGGGAATGGGGCAAGCAAAGTATACGGGAAAATCAGGGGAACTGCTTTCTTTCAGCCAGGGTTAAGAGTAAAGGCAGGCAGCCCACACATGCACATGCAAGCCACTATGACACACACAGATAGAGTAGAAAGGAAAAAAGATATGGCCTAGTTCAATCCCCAAACCAGGTCACTTGTTGATTCTCACCTGTGATGTGCTCACCTGATCTACAAGCCATATCCACATCCTTCTCAAAATCGGTCTGAAAGACAGAGAACACAGAAGATGTGGTCAAAAGGAGGTGGTGGGGAAAAGCATCTGGAAAATGCAAAAAGTTCTTTAATTCAAGAATCAGACATAATCAGTGCTGGAAGAGTGGAGGAGAGACAATTTGCTTAGTCTTTGAAACAAGTCAAACAGAGTGTTATTTTTTCCAAATGTGGCTCTCAGAACTTAGACATTGGTAGAGCAGTAACACTGCTTTCAGCTGGGTTCTTCTCACCCAAAAGCTAATTCCTGGGTTGCCAAATTTTGTGCAGATTCCTCATAAAGTATGGACAAATTCTTGTCCTGATCTGTCTTGGACATTTCTCCCCACACTTAAGTGGATTCTCCTCCACCAGCAGAAAAGGTCTGTAAAAACCATCCACAAGACATAAACATTTCAATATTATCAGGCTTCCAGAAGAGATGGTTATGGAATTATCTTAGCTTTTTTACTGCTTATTTATTAGTAATTTTTTTGGAACATAAAATGAATTTGATGGGAATAAAAGATAAATAACATCAGACAAATATTAAAATGGGCAAGTGGGATGACACAGAAAAATGTTATCATATGTTGATGACAAAGTTCCAGAAAAAATGTAACTGAACAACCTGCACTAGCTCAAGCCATAAGAAAATAAAGGAAAAGTGTATATTTAATACCTGCCAACAAGATTTTGTGGAAAACCATTTACTCAGCTAAGCTTTTTTTAATACACTGAGAAGATTTTGAGATTACCAGAAAAGGTAACGCTAAAAATGCTGTCCTGCAAAGACTTGGGTTTCTTGAAGGCCAGATTCTGAGAGAAAAAGAAAGTCTACCTCCTGTGAAAGAAAGGATGGGCAAATCGGGGAGAGTACAGAGAGGTTGCTAGAATATGCAGGGAGAAAATTAAAAAAGTAAAAGCCCAGCTTGAACTCAACCTGGCCACTGTTGTAGTAAAAGACAATATTTTTTTAGAAACATACTAACAGTAACAGGAGGGCTAAGGGAGAATCTTCATCCTCTCCTGGATGTGGTGGAAAACGTGATCACTGAGGATAATGAAAAGGCTGATGTTCTCAATGCCTTCTTTACATCTGTCATTAATAGTCAGACCAGTTATTTTCAGGGTACTCTATCCCCTGACCTGGAAGTCTGGGATAGGGAGCAGAATAAATTCCCCATGATTCAGGTGGAGGTAGTTAGAGACCTTCTACTCCATCCAGACTGTCACAAGTCCATGGGGCCAGATGGGATTCACAAGAGTGCTGAGGGAGTTGGTGGAGATGATTGTTAAGCCACTTTCTACCATTTATCAGCAGGGAGGTGATTGTTCCCCTGTACTCAGATCTGGTAAAGCCACACCTCATGTACGATGTTCAGTTTTGGACATCTCAGTCTAAGAAAAGCATCAAGGTTCTGGATGTTCAGAGAAGGGCAACAAAGCTGTTGAGATGACAGGAGCACAAGTCTTATGAGGTGCAGCTGAGGGAACTGGGATTATTTACTCTGGAGAAGTGGAGGCTCAGGGAAGACCTTATTGCCCTCTACAGCTCCCTGAAAGGAGGTTGTGGTGAGATAGGGGTCAGTCTCTTCTCCTGGATAAAAGTGATAGAATGAGAGGGAATGGCCTCAAGGTGCATTAGTTTTGATTTTAGAAAAAAGCCTACTTCTCTGAAAGAGTGGTCAGGCACTGGAACAGACTGCCCAGGGAAGTGTTTGAGCCACTGTCCTGGAAGTGTTCAAGAAACGTGGAGATGAGATACTTAGGAACATGGCAGTATTGGAGACTGGTGGGCAGTAGGACTTTTCCAGCTGTAATGATTCTGGGATTCTATGATTCTTTGGTTACAGCACAATTCAGTCACTGTAAAATAACAGTGTACCCCTCTAAAATATCAGTAGTGAGCCATCATTCATGTCTGGATTTGGGAGTTCTTTGTGCTTGGATATGAAGAAAGTGACTGTAAGCTCGCTACTTCTCAACGCGTCAAACTATAGTACAGAAATAAAAAAGCTAAGAACTTGTAGAATTTTGCAAGGTGGCTGATAAATGAAGGCAGAGAATTGTATAAAGGGACAAAAATCTGACACTTCAGAATATAGTGCTTGGGATGGTAACAATAGAATTACAAATTCGATGTCCACAATTTTAAATGATACTGAGTTTGAGGGGCATATAGAAAAGTATAGAAATAATTTGATGTCTTACAGAAGGAGAATAAAATAACTCAGTGTGTTAATTTATTGAAGGATATTATTGTCTATTATTGAAGGAGAAGATGTATGAGGCAAACAAGAGACTTTCTAACTACACATTAAAAGGCATAGAAAGAAGTCTGAAAACCTGAAGACTATGCATTTAAATAGGAAAAAATGCAGGTGTTTTAACAAACATTTATGATATGTGATAGGATACTACATGCCTTGATGTCTTGACCTAAAGATTGTGCTTTTGAAATTAGACCTCATATCCAAGCAGAAGCTACTTAGTTTAGGATAGGAGTGACTGCCAGAAATTAATGAGGTTGTGATATAGGTCTAATACTAACTGGATGTTTTCTTCACATCCTGAAAGTGATTGTCCAGATGTTGTTACTCCAATGTCAGAAATCAAATGTTTCTTGTAGAATCTACATTGTAACACCAGAGCAGATGTAAGATGATTCCTCACAGTTTATTATCCTACTGTCTTATCTAGATTGTTTGTAAAGGATTTACACAAAAGGACTGAGGTTTACAGTGCTTAAGCTTTATTCTCACTGAAGCAATGTAAACAAATATGCTTGAAAAAGCATCTTTATAATAATGACTATGATCCAAAACACTGTGTTTAAATCAATTAAACTGCTGCATCTCAGCTCCAGCTAGAATGAAGCAGTATGATGGAGATGAAAAGATCTGGGAGACTGAAGAGGTATATTTTCCCTTTGAGTTTTCTGGAAAAAGAATGATCTCACCAAAATGGATGCAAAACTTCGTGTGTAAGTTCTAGCCCCTGAATGTTATGATGAAAAGAGAGAGGACTTCTATGAAAGAGTCGGTGCTATTTTTGTTCAAGTGCAGGTTTAAAGGAAAAAGGAGTGTTTATTGCAAAATGTATGGTGGACAGAGCCCTTTGTTTATCAGTTAAGTGTTAAAAATGCCCATAGGTCTCTTAATAATAGACTAGATAGTGGTTTTCCCTACCATTAGTTGAGCATGTCCGTTCTGAAATGACCCCCCAGAGTCTCCATTGCCCTCTTCCTGGCGGTCTACTACTCGGCACTTCACAGCATCCTGAACCTGCAGGAAGGAGCAAATGGATTTTCACAAGTCAGAATCAGACAGAAGTACCAAAACAAATCAAATTCTTTTGACAGCAACAACAACAAATATAGCTTTGGTAGTTCACGCTACTTTTATGATGGATGCTATTACATAAATCATTCTATTTGTGTCTACAATGTCTGATTACAATCCTATATCAGCTGAAATATACATCTGATTCAAGACTCACTGAAATGAATGAAGAAGAAAAAAATGGAAGTAACTAAAATGGGAGTAAGATGCAGGCTCATAGTCATAATGCAATTAGTCGAAGCAACCTCAGCCAAGTTGGTAGTATAGTTCCATTGATTTCACTGGTCTGACATAAAGAATTAATTTGTTTTACTTGATTTAAAGGAGCTGTAAGAAGATAAAATGAATACTGAGAATAATAATAAAAAAAAGGTTCCCTGTCTGTTATTCATAAAAAATTATTCCTTTTCTTCCCTGATATACTTTACCATTTTAAGTCTCCACAGGGAGGCTGGAGAAAATTTACTCAATTTCCTCACTTGATTATTGCTCACATTACTTTCTAGCTCGAATATCTAGGTGCTATTTGCCAACACATAAACATTCTGTTAACCTTGGTGCAAGTTGCCTTTCTCAAAATCAAATAAGAAAATAAGGTTCCATATTTGGAGGTGTGTAAACATTCTGGAAACATTAATGTTCAACAAGCCAAGACTGATATCTCAGTTGGATGAAATGGTAGGTTAAGAATGTCCTCCAAATTACATTCCACAGTACACTCAGCATAGCAACCACTGATTCATTCTCGCTTGCATTCCATCTTTTGACTGATAACAGCATGGTCACTTATTTGGTCACTGCCTACAGGAATGCAAAAGCTCATAGGATTAGAGAAGTTACCAGGCTGATTAGCCTTTTTTCAGATATTTTCTATTGTAAGTACGTTGGTTATATAAAAGAGAAAATGTCATTGTGCTCACCTCCCTCCTAAGGATACAATGGACCATCACAATGACAAAGCCTTCCAATGAGTCGAAGACAGCAAAAAGGATCTGGAAGAGCGCTGACCGCCGATCTGTGATTGCCAGAACTGCAGACATCCAGGTGAGAGCCAGGAGTGGCAGGACCACACAGGAGCTCCAAAGGGATGCCCTGTTAAGGGAGAGGAAAAGAGAATTCAGCCCCACTTCAGCCCCACTTGATCCCATGTGGGATGCTAATTCAGCCTCCTGATCCCATGGGGCTTCAGAAGACTTTTCCAGCAAATGCATACTTGTGCTAGGTGTCTTCTGAGCCCCAGAAGCAGGAAGATGCTTTGCACACTCACACTACCAAAACAGGTGACACACATTTCCATGGGAGGGACTACTAGCCAATGGTGCAGTCATGCATAAAACTTGAGGTGGGGAGGAAGGATGCAGATACCTCACTCCTCCCCTCATGCCCTTCCCACTCTATGTCACTAGACCACAATGATGACATTTCCCAAGGAGAGGAGACAAAATACAGTCACTGTAGGTTGCCAGGGGGAAGGGGAACAGTTGCAGCAGAGGCTGGTTTGTCACGATGGCTGTCAGTACTCAGGCTACAGACACTTGGACTTCCACAGCACATGGAAGACACCAACAAGTGGGGACGTGTCACAGTTTCAAGTAACTAAAACAGACAAGCATTGAGCTGATGTGAAGAATGGCATTTTGCTGTTACTCCCTTTCTCTGTAGCTGACGGTCCCTACAATTCTACATCTGTGAACATCAGGAAATGTAACTCAGATAACTCTGAATCTTTTCATTTTCTTGTGTGATCTCCTTATCTGAATGCACTGAAAAAAACCTGCAGTTGCTTCTACCTTTAGCAAGGGTTGGAAATAATAGTTACTGGGGGGAAATGCTGGGTTAAAATCCTTCGAGATTTTGCAATTGTTAATGCACGAGAGAGAAAACTTTCTGCAAGGTTAGTACTGCCATGTGAACATCCACCTTTTTTTATGACTAATGGCTTTACAAATGAGAAAGCAGCTTTGTTTCCATGGACGATTCAGCCACTCAGTTATCTCACCAAAATAACTTTAACAGCAAGTTATGGAGATTCTAGGCCACCTATTGTTGTATATGTTTGGTGCAGCAAGAGTATCAGGAGAATTTATTTGTGGTCTTATACCAAACAAACAGAAGTCGGCCTATGCACCAAGCAGGTAACAAGTTGAACTTCAGGATTTCCTGAGTAGAAAACCTCAGCCTATTTACTAACAAATATATACAGGCAACACAATAAATTACAGGACGTGTATTGTGACACACAGTTTACAGTAGGTACATGGAGCTTGCTTACCATTTTCTGATATGTGATCAAGATTTTAATGTTTACTTGCTGGTTATCCAGGTATCACTCTCATGAACCTCAGTGAGAGTTCTACCTGAGCAAAGTTGGAGCTTGGACATGGACATGAGCATCAGGACATAATGTCACGGCTTCAGTTACAGGGTTTTTCAAGGACTGTTACATCTGTTCTGCTGTAATGACCACATACTAGAGCAACGGGTTATTTTTGTAATCATAATGATGCTTTGATTGCAGATATTTCTACAAACTGTTCAGGTTCAGATGTGCTCCTTTTAATCATTGTGATTTCCCTACAGGAGCAATTAAATGGCATAGACTGTTTTCTACTAAACTAAGCCTTATGAGGCTTCCTTCTAAGATAAGGGCCACGTTATAATGTAGATATAATTTTATATAGGATAAACTAAACCTTTATGTCTGATAGGAACTATAATTTTAATGCATAATTAAAAAAAAAAAAAAAAGGAACCAGCAGCCAAAGACAAGTCTCAACCAAACAACTGCCAAGCAGATGATTTAATTCCACTTCTCTCCTAACCCACTGAAATGTGTCTCATTATACTGAAGTAACTGAAATCTCTCATTGCTTTCATTTGCAACGGTGCATTAATAAAATTGGCAAAGCAGTAAGTGCAGTAAAAGTCAAAGGTGCAAAAAAGCTAAATGAAAAGATGAGGTTTGCTCCATAACAGCTGCTCTAGATGTGACTTTAGTGCACCTGCCAACCATACCTGAGAGTGGATTTGATCCCTGCATATGTGCCTGAACCAGAGATCTATAATCGCATTGGGTTTCAAGATTCAAGATGCTACCAGCAACATGGATGCAATTATTCCTTAACTATGAAGGGAACCCTTCAGAGCCCCTGCTGTTTTTACGCTGGACTCAATGAGTCTTTTCCAGCCCTACATTCTGGGTTCCACATTGAGGTGGACTTCATCATGGCTTCCAACATAAGCAAACTTAATACCAGCACTGCCTTCTTCACACTTCCAACTCAGTGATGGCAACAATATTATGCCAGATATTCAGTTGGTGTAAATCAGAATTTTTTCAACTGAGTCAGCTTCTGTCTTACATCACCTAAGATTACAGTCTGACTTTCTGTCTTCTCTGTGATTCATCTTGCAGATACTTTCTTAACAATATTCTTCCCTTACAAATGTTAGTGAAATGTTCCTTGACATTTAATGCATAAAACTTTATTCTCAGGCAACAGATGGCAATGGGTCATTATATACTATATATAACTTACTCTAATTTAACTTTCAGAGCTTGGCTTAGATTTTGAAATATTAAATTAAAAAATAATAATAATAAAAAAAGGTTCCACTAAAAATTTCATATCAGGATTGAAATTTCTAAAGAAAACTCAGGGAAAGATAAATGGGTTTCTTGTGATTTGTACTTAATTCCACTTCTGTGAGCTGAATACATAGCAGAACTCATACTTCTGCCACTTTTCTGTTTGCCTCTTTGTAGGAGGCATCCTTAGAAGGTACAATAAAAATTTACAGGACCTAAGAAGCATCATGTTATAGTGCCACATGCTGTGAGATGAAGTGATGATTTATTGTGTAACAACACTCTGATTACTTAACAGCTCTTCATTATGGGTTATCTATGATCAATTAATCCAAGATTTTTATTGCCTGAGACAAAGGGCCAGTCCTTCTAGCTGTCAAATGAAGAAGACATTTATCCTACTGATTTATCCTGATTTATTGATTGCATACATGACAGCTCTAATTGTGAGTGACAAATATCAAGGGGATATCGTTACATTGCATTATGGAAGCATAATGCTGGCTTATTGCCTGATGACCACCATATGACAACATTACTCAGCAGTACTGCTGTAATATCACATTTTTCTACCCTACCACACTGTGTTACTGCTGCATTGCAGAGAAAGCGCATTATTTTGGGATATGGTCATGTCATGGCATGTTGTAACCAAGTATATTTACAAGGCTATGTAATAACATGGCCATGCATTAAAGTTTTCCACAGCTTTATCCATCTCAGCAAAGACTTAACCTCTAAACCCAGCTCTGGCAGAGAGCTGGTGATGGCCTCTGATCAATATAACAAAAACTAGATGTGGTTTTGTTCTTTATCTAACTGGCATCCTTGGGAGACTTCATCTTTGCAATAAATAAATAATAAATAAATAAATAGCAGGATATACTGATGGGAGTTAGAATAGCAAAGGAAAGAGCAAAAAGGGCTTTTAGAAATAAAGATCTACATGAAGATCTAAAGGCCTGTGCCCTGACAACGGTAGATGCAAGGGAGCACGATATGTGTTAACAATGATATAAAAGGCCATTATGGAAACGTAAGCGATCAATTCTTCTCATTACTCAAGGCTGATAGCACAGCCAGTACACAAAGTTTAAAAAAGAGAAGGAGGAAAAACAACTTTGTAACTCAGAAAGCAGATCCTGGAGAAGTTTTCGAGAAACTTCTTTTAACTCAATGTGTTTAGAACTAAGATAGGAAATCTGCGACTTACAAAGTGAGTCCCCATGTTGTTACCATGCATGGGGAGTTTAGAAACACAAGACATTATTTCTGTTTTCTCCAGAAGATGACTCTTCTATATCAGTTACTGTTATCTTCACAATATGACTAAGAATACAGAAGATCAAATGCCTCTGAAGGCAGGTAGGAAATGAAGTAGCTATGGCACACTTCTTGATTATTCATCCTTAATAAGGAAAATAGTTATTTGACAGTCCAAAAACCAATAGGGCCTGAGTATTGTCCACAGGTTAAGGATTCAATTTTGAATTCATTTAACTATGCAAACACTGCTGTTCCTGATGAACAGCCTCCTTTATAAAACCAGCCATGTACAAAAATATTGATTCACATGGAAGTGATTCACATGGAATCACAATACTGGAAAAAAAAAATATATATATAAATGTCCAAGACTTCTTGAAACAGCTTCGAGCCAAGGAAAAATGTAAATCCCTTAGATGGGAGATTTGATACAGTCAAATGGTGTAAGATGGATGATGCATGAAATTTATGAGAGCTCCATGATTTTGACAGACCCTTGCATGGATTGCTTGAAAGACCAATATGCTGTGCCAAGGCCATAGAACCAATCTCTTGCCTATATTCAAAATCTGAGTTTCTATATTTGCAATGCACTGTTTGGCAAGAATTCTATTATTCCTTCCTTCCTTCTTCCCCCTTCCTTCCTCCCTTCCTTCCAATAGCAATCCCTGGTATCTTCAGGGGCCGTCCACTTTCAGAGCAAATAGAAAGAAATCGTATGTCCTTGAAGTGCTCCTGTCTGAGATCAACACTGCTCATGAGTAGCAAAGACAAATGAATTATAAGGCAGTATTTCACAGACTGAAGCTACTGTACAGGTAACAATTAAAAGGAAAGAAAGATGGGAACAGAGTCTTCCAGTGGCAGTGCACAGCCTGGTTATTATCCGAAGAAGTCAGTAAGGAAAGCTTTATTTTAACCCACAGATGTCAAGCTTGGCTTATGTTTAACAGGCCACAGACATCCACAATTTTCCTTTTATCATTTCCCTAGTCAAGAAATTGCATAATTTCCAATGGATATTTTTTTCTCTTCTGTCACGATTGCTACCAGCTCTACCACTAGGGTTTACCATGTTTTCACTTAGTTACAGGTTCTTTCTCTGACCCTTCTCTCTTAGACACAGATATTATCATGAAGAGCTGCTGAGAACCTCTCTGATTTTTTCAAGAAATTGGACAGAAGTTATATTCTTTCACTTCATGCTATCTCAGGGATGAGTCTATGAAACCTATGG